GGGCGGTGTTAGCGCCCTAACTGGTTAAAAAAAATTTGGAACCGTGAAAGGAGCGGCAGAGATTAAACTCTGATGGTCAGGGTTATGAATGTGATGGTTAAAGTCTTGTCAATTAGCCAAGGTAGCTAATAGGCTGATAATCACTTGTACCTTGACTATGCTATGAAGTATGTAGCATGTCCCTTGGTACCAAAAGTGTCAAATTCTGTGACGTTTGATGATCTGATCATGAATGGGCAGTGCATCTGTATTTTCATTATAGGGCTCAGAGTAGAAAATGCTACAGCATATTCATGTCATTGCATCATTACATGAATGCACAAATGCGGTTCAAGCATCGTCTACTTCAACTGCGTTAAAAAGCGCTTCTGAAAGTCATCTTCGTTAGTGCAATTTCTTTGAATCGAATTTTGCGACTGACCATTGTTGCCGTTTTGATGTATAGAGAGGGTCGGCTGCAAGCGTATATCAGTAAATGAATGAGTTTCTGTCAGAAAAAACATACAAAACTGCTTTCAAGTAGGAGAATGTAAATAATATAAGATCGTTTGTTACATCAATTATTAATTATGCTTTCTAGAATAGGAAAGCACATCGCTGCATTACCTGATGTATTGATGTCCCATTAAGGATTACAATTTTCTTATGAATTCTTCAGTTTTGACCAGTTATGACGTTATGGCTTCGGACCGGCTTACCGACCGTTCCCCTTATTCCTATCTGTCTATAGAGGAGTTAAACTAGGCCAAAGCTCTAGAGTATTTAATCACCTGCAGTGCTTGGTGAATCAGGCGTTATTTTATGCGCTATAACAAGCCCACGAACGATCACAGCTTCATGCATTCCACAATGTAAAGATCATAAGTTATATTCATAAGCGTAAATATGCTAAATGCGCCTCAATTTACCTAAATGGGCGCATAACATCTCCAAGACCAGAATTCGCTGAGATGGGTGTGTGGTTTTTCCAGTTAATAAATGTTGCGATATGCGCATGTAACAATGCAGGTGCTCAAATACCACTGAATCATCGATACGATGAACCCACCAGGCATTGCAGATCTACTAGCGGAACAGAGAGACGGGAGCCAACAGAGGAAATCGTTGAATTTAAATATCTTGGTCCAGTCATCTCCAGCCATGGTATTACCCAATAAGAATGAAACAGGGGAATGGCTTTCACCTATAGTGCTTTCGGTAGCATGTCAAACATTTAACTGAGGAAGGAACAACTCTTTCTTACAGCCAAAACTCTTGCCTATTCTTTCCTCGGTCCAACCAACGGCCAGTGACAGCTGTACGACTCCGTAATGAGGCATGAGATCTTCTTTCAGACACACGTGTGTCGTGAATGAGGAGATGAAGCATATAAGGTAGGCTATGTTAAACATACTGCTCGATGCTAATCCGTTTACTTCGTGCAGCATGCTTCTCGCAGAGGAGACGAAATACGGAAGACGTCGATCAGGAGGCCGGGATGCAACATGAATGAATCAGGTAGAGACAGATCTGACCTATGCAATGCAGTAACCGGAGCCTTATGGCAAAAATACTGAAAAGCGGCAAATGCAGCGGCCATGACAAACCGCAGACAGGTTCCGCTAATCCAAATACATCAAAGGTGATTACCACAACAAACAGACAAACATGGCCCCTCCCGACAACTGGAAGAAATGGGCAGTGAATGTGCCATGAAATTTTGCCGTTCTTTATGCGCCTATTAACAGATGCCTGTATAAAAACACTCATGCTTAGAATGGCCTCGTTCCTCATGGGAACTCATGATTTCACCTGCTTTGAAACAAAACTTGAAGTCACAAATCGACACGGACACTTCATGTGCTGACGAATACATCTGGACAGACATTTTAAATCAGAATGGTTCACTCTGGATAGTCTGAAACGGATTCATTCCGCATAATAAATGTTCAAAAAATAGTTTCCCTTTTCAAGACCTGTGCCTCATCATCAGAAAGGTTACTGTCACGGATAAATCAGAACATTCCACTTCATTCCATTCCATTTGTTTGACTGTGCCCTTATAGCCTTCTGTGCGTATAGCTGAAATATTTTAATTGTAAATATTCCAATTCTTTTTACCTAGCTTTGTTAAGGTTAAATGATTCAAGTGTTATGGCTTTGCTGATAATTTTGTAAATTGTTTCATTTGTTCGCTTTATTACACTTTGACTGTCATGCATACCTAGTTTGGTGATATTTCGATTCATTTGAACTATCCAGAAGATCATGAGTTTTGATGACCTGTTCGAAGCAATAAACTTTCGCTAATTCTGGAATTAAATCGGACACGTTATTTTACAATAGATGAATAATGGGCATAATTTTTCCATTATCGCTCAGCCGAGACAGATTGCTTAGTTCCTCTCATACATCACGTGGTAGGTTGGATTATTATGTGACATAGGTGCATAACTCCTCAAAGACCAGACCTCACGGCGTGTTGCACTGCCTCTTTGTTCTTAGATGCCGGGTAGATGAGTGGGGCATTTCAGCAGGCCACGGCTCCACGGTATTTGAGCATCTGAAGCGCCATCTTGATCTCGCATTATTTTGTCCCCAGAGCCACATTGCGTTCGTCACCAACAATGGCTCAACAAGAGCTGTAACTCTTCAAGTGCTACAGCCTAAATATCAAAGCGTGTTCGCATGCCTGGGTACGTTAGAGAGCGTTTGACCGTGCCAAGATCAGGTTGTATGGCGCATTGCGCTCTCTCCTTGCTCTTAGCTTCCCGGTGGGTGGGATTTAAGCAGGACACGGATCCAGGTGTTATCTAACGCTATTGCCTTTGCAAGAAAACCATACGCGTTGATAAAATCAGCCAACCAGCGAAAGGCAAAAACCTGATAAAACTATTGGCCCGCCTTGCCACTCCTTTACTGGCAGACGCATTAATTGATCAGTGTAAAGCCTTTGTTTCATCGAGAACGATCGCTTTACTCTCGTGCCACATTCAGTAAGGTAACATCAAGAATTTAGTTCACAACGCGGTCCGGTTCTTGAATGCAAAAACAACTTTTCGAATGAAAGCTTTCATTATGAAAAGGCTAAGGCCTGTAGAAAAAAATTATGCAGATATGATCTGAAAGAATATGACCATGTGAAAGACGCCTTTAATTACTTCTGTCAGAAAAAATCAGGATTTTAAACAGCATAAATTTTAACGAACTGAAAGTTTAACTGGCTACGTCGCATTTATGACAATTTTGCCTTCACATGTGTACTGTGCATTGCAACAATACTGTCCTCTAAGTATCTTGCCCAGACACTAAAACATACCTCCTTTTATACCTTTTTGGAAATTATCTAAGGGCGTGAAACAAAATGGATTTGTTCACTTACATACGCTAACAGTCAATTTAATCTTATCCCTTCCAATAAAGCTCTTATTGGAGCGTTTCCTTCTACCTACTAATATATGCTAGTTAAACGACTAGTCAAAACTGAGTCACATCACCCGTACATTATCAATAGCATTTTACGATATGCCCTTCTGGACGATCCTGTCCGTTGGAATCAAGAATCCGAGTCTTGAACGGAAGTGGTTATTCGACAAGTTCATTGCCACAATTATACATTGTTGATTTATGATTTAGGGAACGCTTCCTCTGTGAACCTTCCACTTACAGAAATGAATCAGTGAAAATGAAAAATTGGTTTGAAAATAATTTTCCCACAATAATTAATTAATCCGCGTCTACAACGAGTATCGTTGAGTGACTTAAACCTGAGTGAAATGGACAGAGTACATTGTTGTTGTTGATCGCGCTCTGCGTTAGATTTAGAGCGCATACATTACGTTTCCATTATGCCAACGTTTAGACGAGAGCGACACTGATACCATCACAATCCCTTTAGCCAGCCATGCCATATCTTTTAAACATAACACTAAAATTATGAGATCATCGCAAGGCGTCGCCTCTCGCTACTTCCTCACGTAACGAATGCCTAGCACCATTATGTAAGAGAGAAACAGAAAACCACCCTACCCTTTGTAGTGGCCATGGATTTGGAGTACGCCACCCAAAAATATATATCACTGGTGATTGAAGGGGCCGTGTTCAACTTCGCCTTAGTCGAAACTGTTCAAAACATTGATTTCTTTCTACGTGCCAAGTTTTAGGTTGAATAACCGTATCCTCGAATGCGCTCATGAAATGATAATATGACTGCACTTCTGCCTTCTCATTACACATTAAGGCAAAAAAGAACTATTATATTCAGAGAAAAAACCAAGCTCTAAGCTGTAATGGCCCAACGGCTGCCGACACTGTGTTCAGAAACTGTGTAGCTCATATAACACGGAAATTCATAGCATCGAAACAAGGACTAAGAATGAGCGCTGGCACAGCATGAAGGAGGTTGACTTAAATCTCCGAAGGTGCCAGGGTTTCATCTTAGCCGCTAATCAACTCGAGCAACGAGTTCACACCACGTTGGTTCAGCGCAACCACCGAATGAGCGGGCCAAATCGTTGCCTACGAACAACAGAGGCAGGCGAAGGTATGATGATGACCATGTAAGAACGGACGAGATACACGGACATGCTGTCCTAATCGAGCGCCTCATATGGCTGCAGTTCGCCTTCCCCGTTCCGGCTAGCAGCTGTTCATTCGATGGGACAATCAATAGAAAGCATAACGCTTGTTGCTGTTACCGTTTGAGATCAGTTCAAGATATTGAAGATATTGAAAGATATGAGAAATTGCTACCGTCTTTGAAATGTACGATGAACAGATGTCTACGCGCACAACTTTTTCAATACGTATTTTTTTCATCTAATAGACTTGGCGACTGCTTGCTCATTTCGATGGATATTTCCGCAAGGTAAGCCGCAATTTACCATTCTGACTTGTTATGATCATTTAGAATTCATCTCGCAATTGCTTATCTGCTGCACTGGGTTCGTTGCTAACCGAAGTAGAACAAAAGCAGGAATAGCAGTTAGAAAGACCAGAAGAATGGAAGGAGAAGGAGAAGGAGAAGGAGGAGAAGGAGAAAAAGGAGAAGGAGAAGGAGAAGGAGAAGGAGAAGGAGGAGAAGGAGGAGCGGAAGGAGAAGGAGGAGAAGGAGAAGGAGAAGGAGGAGAAGGAGGAGGGGAAGGAGAAGGAGGAGAAGGAGAAGGAGGAGAAGGAGAAGGAGGAGAAGGAGAAGGAGGAGAAGGAGAAGGAGGAGAAGGAAAAGGAGAAGGAGGAGAAGGAGAAGGAGAAGGAGATGGTGGAGATTGCAAATGAGAAAGAGAAGAGAAGAAGCACTAAGAAGGAGAGGGAGTAGAGCACTTGCTCTGAGACATGAATAGGTTTTTCATGGCATACGAGTGAATAAATTTTTAAAAAATTGACTCATTTTCGAAGCACGCTGCTTCTTCACTGATCAGTTGCCTCTTGGGCACCTTTCAATGCCACTTGTTTTAGAAGTCGTAGGGTTTCGCCTGCAACATTTTGATCACGCATCAGAACCATCGTGATCATGGTATTTTGAGAAAAGTGGCAACCTGCCGAAAGTGAGGAGTTCTTTGACTTCGGTATTTATTTAAGATAATATGGATAAATTATTATAAAACATAAACCAGTCGTTCGATGCGGCTACCAAGAAACGAAATGTTCCCGTTCATCCAATGGCCTCAAAGGATAGCGTATTTCTTCTTCTCTCACGAATCCATTCTTATCTTGTTCCGCAGATTTAGAAACATGTATTCCGTGGTTGTCAACAGCTGATTTCAGCCGAGCAGCAATCGCTCATCGCCATCACCCTCATCCGCCTTCGTATTTTGCCAAGGAATTCGTTAATGACTTAGCCACGAAAACTTCACTGTGTTGCACAGAGTGCCAGGTATGTTTGACATTTCGAACGATGATTCATGAACGACAAATAATGCGTGTTGTGAATACCGATTTGATGCCATAATTAATCAACTTAT